TGATTAATTTTTGATTATCGGAAGCAGTATTATAATCTGAATTCCAGATATCGAATCGTAAACCAATGTCCTTTTGCGCCCTTGATTTTACTAATAATTAACACCATTTATTCATTCATGTGGACGTCTTTCAGACTGAACCAGTTCTTTTGTTTTTCACTTTTCCCATTTATTACAAGTCAAAGAACAAACAACAAACATCTCGCTATCAGCCGCCAGGTGCCGAGTGACTACTGCGTTTCACACTCTCTGTAACGAGTGTATCTCTGCCTGGAGCCCCACAGTGGAGCAGCGAATCCTATTTTATCTGTTCTCCTTTGTTACTATTTAACTTTGCTTCGGGACCTGCCCAAATTCCATCAGACAGAATTCAACAATTTGAAGCGAGATAACAATACTTGTCAGCAGCGGCGACCTTTGTAACCGTTTTCTGCTGCTGTGATAGTCCAACAAAATTCCCAGCAATGACACATTAGAATATTTGGATAGGAGCAAACCTTCCCTCTGAGATGTTTTCTCAAAGTTGTATATTTCACAACTGTTTGTGCAGAATGTGTGGCCTCAATTAAAATGATTAGTCACAGGATTCTGAATTGAAAATTTGAAATAGAACAATAAAGAGGAATGTAAGCAATTCTGGCAGAATATTTAAATCCCTTAAAGAACCGATATAATTTAATTTGGATTCTAGCATAGATTCGAGGACAATCAGAAATGCACATATGCTAATATACATGTATATCATTATTTGTATAAATGGAGTTCTCATCTTGAAAACAGAGTTCAAATCTGCCTCTCTCAGATCAGGAATCCTTTAGTATTTTCGGTTCTCGCCTAACCCGAGTCCATGTCCGCGCCATTCGATCCCACCGGTTACAGAGATGCTTTCGTGAACACTTATCTTAGCGAGCTATCGCCGATAGATTGCCAAAGATGATATTGATTCACTCTCCTTTTATCTAATGATGAACCTCATCAATCGCAGGAGAATAAATCGAAAGGCAAGCGGGCCCTTTCGGGCTTGTGTATTTCCCAATAGTTTTACTGCCGTTTATCGATCTCAATATTTTAACATTTCGAATACAGTCATTGGCATCCATTCGTCATTTACCTGGTTTAAGCGGCCAGGATGCAGTAGCTGGGCCCCATTGCTCGCTTAACCAAACGTTTGCCTTTTCAACAATTCTTCAGCAAAAGGCCTATTTCGCCATGTCTGGGAAGCTGCAATCGGAAACTGTAAAGGATGAGTACTGGAACCGAGAGGTATTTCCACATAAAATTTAAAGAGCTGCAGTCAGCAGCATAATTGATTTGGGTAATTGGGACAATGCGAATATAGGGACAATGGCGATGTGGGGACAGTGCAGAATTAGGGGACAATGCGGATGTCGGAACAGTGCAGACGTGGGGGATATGGGGACATTGCGGATGCGGAGACCAGGGGGATGTGGGGAGAGAGTTTAGAGCAGTGAGTAGCGGGTAGTTTTTGATTCCAAGCTTTTGATCACAGTTGAGCGCCCAGTGTCTGCAGCTGCAAAAGGGAAGCTGTGATGTGATCAATATTGACTCAGTTCAATCTGCACGAAGCCAATTTGGGCCGTTCTCTTTCTCTTTCTTTCTCTCTCTCTCTCTCCTGCCACAACATCATTAAACACGCTGCACTTTCCTCTGGAAAATGTCCTGTAAACAGCGTAAAATCTGCTTAAACCACAACTCTGTTTGACAGCAGACATGCTAATCGATAATAATTTCACCTTTATAGATGTCCCCATTATTACTGTGTCATACACGTATGCGCCAGCATGTATTTGATACATATGCAATTTACCTGATAACACATATATGCAATGCAATACATAAATAACTATGTGAAACAGTTCCGCCTTTACCTGGAATTATTATTTTCACACTTAGAACTTGGCTCTGGAGGTAAATAGAAGAAAATGCGCACATAGTGTGAGAAATGTGCTCTGTAAAATACTTGTACACCCATGTGCATATACACATGCAGGGAGTTTACATTTGTACAGGTGTCACCAAGTCATAGTTCGAGTGTAGGTGGCGAAAATAACACAGACTTTTAAAGAGTTCGGAATTTCGCATAATTCCTGTACTCCTGGTGCCTTTTCTGGGATGTAACCCCAGCTCTGGTTCTGCAGGTCAAGGCGCTAGCAACGTGTTAGAGCGGTTTAAATAATTAATTGTTAATCTGCTGTCACGGGATAAGGAAGTGAAGTGGAAAGGGTTCGACTGCATGCATTCGCCATTCCAGGGTCCAGGATTATTGATCGGGTGTTTACCACATCAGGCTGGAGGCAGCGTCACTCCTGCTCTGCGCCTTGTCCTGCAGCTGAGATCTGAACAGGCTGGAGAATGGGATATCTGAAACACGTCCTCCATTCTGCTCTCAATAGAACAAATCTCTCATTTAGCATCTATATATCATGCTTTCTGTCTGTATTTTCGCTAATATCCCAGATATCACCCGGAGGTGTTGCTAATTAGGGTTAGCGCTATTAAAAAGGCTACAAGGCATAATCTGCCCATAAATATATGTCTTTATTGTGTCTATCACTTTCTTAGCACAAAGTATTACTAGATTTGTCGACAGTTTTCAATGCAAAACCATTCACCTCTACAATATCACAGATCTTACTCATGTCCATGTTTTGTAAGACACTGGAGCTTTGTGTTTAGATTGTTTTTTATGTTTAGATTGAATTTTTTTTGTGTTTAGATTGCTATAAGATTTAAAAGCACTTGAACATTTGTCTATGTTATTGGTGTAAAAAAAACAAGAGGGATGTTGCAACGATTAGAGCTGACTTCAGACATTCAAAAACACATTAAAATGCATATCATCAGCAAGTAGGTCAGTTTGGGTCTAATGTCAAACTGACATTCGTTGACTTTATACAAGTCACCGAAATAGTCACATCGTCTCCTTTTGCTCTAGAAACCTGACGACATTGCGCTCTTAAACAACTCGATCACCTCCCTCTAACGACTTCCAATCGTCGCTATTTAACGTGCAAATTCAGTTTTATCTACAATATATGAAAAATTCCAACACGTTCATTTGTAATTTTGTTTTACATTCTCACCAAATGCAACATTATCTGCTCTATAGTGCAGTTTCACAATATTTGAACAACCCTAAAAATCGATTTCTTTGACTGTGATGAATTCCGAATTGTAATTCGAAGTTATTGATTTTGTGGTTTCAAACGCGAACAATTCTGTCTTCCTTACTACTGGTCGTTTCTTCTTGCCGTATTTCTATCTTAATATGATCGTGCAAAACTTGCAACCTTATTTATGACCATATGAAACAAAAGGCCTATAAAATAATTGATGACAGTTTGTCCTAGTACAGGCAATATATTAAATCGGCTTTGAAATATTCTGAATCTTGAACTATTCGCATCTAGAGGGAGAAATTGTGATGATAAAGAATTGTAAATGAAAGATACACGTAAAGAGAAATGTAACATTGCATTTTGCCATCACATTCACCGGCCTCCGGCAATTAATACCAATTGCAGGAGTCACTCCACGGATTTACTCGCCTTAATCCAACTATTTTGCTGCAATGTGGCTCAAAGGTATTTTTGTCATTCAATATGATTTTTGTATGCAAACATCTCAATGTAGTAAGACTGAAGTATTTTTGTGCCAGCATTGTCGCACTTTAATAATCAGAGATGGCTTGAAATTTAGAGTTTAAAAATCCCTGTATAGTAATTGTTTTCTAAAACAAAATCCAGAAACACTTTTTCTAAAACATTGCAATTTTCTCCGTATGTCACTAAGTCCAGTAACATTTATCTTATTGTTAATTTGTCTTGAGTTCTTCCATACTACATTTTGAAGCAGAAATAAAACACAAACGCTCGATTGGGTTTAACAACAGAGGCACTTAAACAGCCAATTCAGAGCAGTTTACATCTTTATTTACCAGAGTCTTGTAAAACCAATGCAATCTGCATTACATTAACTGCTTTTCAATAGCGCATTGACTGTAACTAAAAGATGCCTTGATTCGCACCTAATTAAGGGGCAGGTAAATTGTGGGACACGTGATTTCACGCAAATTCTACACCTGAGGACAGAACTGCCTCTGCTAATATTTAGTAGTAAGGAAAAAGACATGCCTATGTCTGTGAGAGGGCATCCGATGGATGGTGGATAAATACATTATCACGTGACCACACTAGGCGGCCCACACCTCATATTAAAAGGCTATTAAACATGCATCCCATTCAGTGTCAGGTGGACTTAATTCCAATCAGAACTCCATGGAATATAAACCGCGAATTTCATGCCAATGAGAAAACAACATTGTGCTTGAATGAAATGTAACCCTTTATGCACAACCAGGACCAAGGGTACAAATGGTAACCGTGTGTACAAAGAAAACCATATAATTTACTGCTGCTTAAATTACTTCATCTAAATGAAAGAAATCTCTCTGTGTTCCCATCTTTCTTGGAACCGTCTGTTTACAGGACTGAAAGTTCATTAAATACATTAAATATGGGGGAAACGACAGAATTTGAGATTAACTGCATTTTAGCCTTTTTCGGTAAATTGGGAGTATTTTGGAGAAATGACAACGGATTTTTCTTTTCCATATTTGTTATAAAAAGCTGCTTTGGTATCAAATGGTCATTACCATATTTACATATATTAACTGTGGGGGAAGCAGAGATAAAGGAACATCTGGGGAATTCTCTACTAAACAGGAGAGAAATAATGACAACGAGTGCAGTGCATTCACATTCACATAATATATCAAATAGATAGACACATAATGACAAAAAACAGAACAAATATTGTAAGATATTTGAATCAATTGCTTCTATATATAGGTTGGGGAGGCCATGCAGCACAATGCCCCTTGTTTTGAGCAGAATCTGGTGTGTGTATGTGTAAGTTTGCAGTATGCAGAAGTGCATTATGCCGGCTAGTGAGGAGATGGACTGTATTTGCTGTCCTACCTGCCAGCCTGAGAGCAGACATTCTCTGGAATTCAGGCTCCTGCAGCCACTTCCACATCCTCCTGAAGGTCTCGCGGCCAGATTTGAGCTTACTCCAGGGTTTGGGGTTCCTCAGCAGGTCTGAGAGGGTTCCCTGCGACCGGCACAGGATTCGCTGTGCAAAAATGGCCTGAGGGATGCTGTAGCGTTTCAGCTCCGCTGTGATTCTCTGGGCAACCTCCTTGGTGTTGATTTCCTCCACTTGATTCGAGCCGCCGCCGTGAGAGGCGGACACTGATACCTGACGGTCGCGGTCAGAGGAGAGCATCGAGCCGTTAACCTGTCCATGGTGATGGCTGTGAGGGTGCATCCCATTCAGGTGGGGCATCATCCCGGCTCCAGGGCCCCCCAGACCCCGAGCCAGGTGCTCATCCCCTCTGGATAGCATAGCGGCGTGTGTATCAAAGCCATTGGGAGACAGCATCTTCTCGTTCGCCATGTGCCCACCGGGACCGTAAGGTGTCAGCGGCTGCTGGGAGTTGTGCAAAGTGCCCAGTCCGTTGGAGAGAGGGGAGAGAGACTGTCCCATGGTCGCCATGTCTTTGTGGTAAGGGCTGTAGAGGTTGCCCATTGATGGCAAGCCCCTCTCGTCTCTCATGAGGGTGAAGCTGCCGCTCACATTGCCAGACAGTCTCTGGTGTGGGTGGTGGTGGTGATGATGATGATGATGATGAGGGTGATGGAATTTATCAGACACAGTAGAGATTGGCGGCAGGTGCTGGAGGGGTGTCAGCGTGGTGTAAGTACTGCTCAGGCTCATCCCAGGTGGACTGTCACAGGACATGCTCATGGCGGGGTGCAGCGGACCGGACAAGCTGTGATCGGGGCGGTAATCGCCTCCTTCCAGGATGGAAGCCATGCTGGACACCATGGCAGGCCGGCCGTGAGCAGCCAGACTCCGGTGAGAAGCCTGGCGATTGTGGGAACTGTTCATCAGGTCGCTGGATTGGGTCACGCCGTGGATATTCCCAATATTCTCCATTGTAAGCTCCATGTTCGCTGTGCTTCCTCGGCATCAATACCTATTCATCCGTTCGATCGAGCATTTTGTAGCCTGTGTTTGTGGATTGAGTGCGATTTGCTGCGATCGCCACTCCGACTGATGCGCTGGTCCGAGGGCTGATGTTTAACGGCTGCAGATCGGGGAGAGACCGAGCGGAGCGGAGTGTCAGTGCGCAATCTCACGGCTCGTCTGACGTCAGCATTCCCACATCTCATTATCGAACTTCCGGCACTTTTTACCGAACATCGCATTGACTCTCAATAGCGAACACTGCGCTTTCAACAATCTTAAGAGTGTATGTTATATCTACAGAACGGACTCTCTATCTAAATTACTGCTCAACACTTCACTTTGAACTTGTCCTAACATCATCTCCTAATCTGAATACATTTACCAGTATTGGAATCCATGCAATAAAATTACATTCTCCCATCAGTGAAACTAAGTCGTCATTTAATTCCACATTTCGTGTTTTTGAAGCCATGAAATATCCACACATATATAATTAAAAGTTATTTGATATATTCTGTTAATTAAGCAGAACTCAGCTTTATCTCTGTTAATTGGTTGATGAGGTGATACCTGAGGTGTTTTACCTGTGAAAATGACGCTTTTAATTTTAAAAATGTCAGTATTCTGATATCTGCGAACCCACTGTGTGAATGTCAACAGCCCTCCCCTTCCCCCCCTGCCCCTCCCTAATCTGAATAATAAACCATGAAAAGGAACATTTCTTATAACCTTGGACTCATTTGTTTAATAGTTTGGGTAAGGTATTCCGGTCCAACGCACTGGGACGTCCTCCCGACGTGAAAGGCGTTATACAAATGTAATTTGTTGTTGTTGTTAAGGTAGACCTGATGTGTCTACAGACCAGGATCATTGACTGGGCCTTTGATGCTGAAACGTTAAAGATACTCACAGGTGTTCATATCTCAGAATGCAAAAATCACAACCTCTAGTTGTTGAGACTCCAAATGACTTCTGACTTGTACAAACATGACCATGTTCGGAACTTTGAGAAATATTTCAATTTAGTAAAATGCAATAGAACTGCTCTGAGTCTAATCCTGTTTTACATTTGACTATGTTCTGAACTGCCCCCCATCTTGCATGTTTAAAAGTGAACATTAATATTTTAAAGTAATCGTAGCTTCTAATGAAGTTTGTCAGATTTGAATGCCGAATTTGGGGGGTTTAAACCACAATTAACAAATACTACCTTTTAGTGAAATGTTCCACGCTTAGCTAAGACAGAAATAAACTTACATCCACTTTTCAGATGATTATTCATAAACGTGCAATTATTGAAGCGTTGTGACACCATTCATAATCAATCCACTTAATACATCTCGATTGCTAATATTTGTCAACGCTTAGGAATCCTTTAAAAATATAAAATACTTTTCTCAATCAGTCACTGTTAGTAATAGGCAAATGTAGCAAGACAGTTAAAACAAAGGATGTCAAGCTCGAGATTCACTATTGATAACTGTAGATATTTAGATAACGGAGGTACAAGTTATTTTGCATTATTTATATTGATGCATTGAAGCTGCTCAGAAATAACGAATTGGGTCGAGGAGATAAACAAACATTCCAATAGTGGCGGTAGAAACTTTACTCTGAAAAATAACTTTTTTCTTGAACTTAGTATTAAGCATTTACCTCGTAACCACAGGATTCGGTAAAATAGGATAGTGATTATCCTGCGTAAATAATTTGTACATGTTGCTCGTTGACGAGGAATCAGGAATTATTCTGCTGTATTTCCAATAGCAAGCTTTTTGGGAGGAATTGGTCCTAATATCCATGGCTTTAGTGCTGTCTGTAAACCTAAATGAGTTGATTAAAATCTCTTTTCTGACGTGTGAAGGACAAATTCTGACCTGTGGTATTGGGATCGGGGAAAAGGTCTTTGGGGAGTCAGAGCAGTAACCAGTGGTAACAACATGAAAGTGTTGCATTAAGGGACTTGCAGAGGATTTGCAATATAAAGAAGTACAAAAATCCAGCTGAGAACCCTTTGATCTTGAATATATTTGGGTCGAAGGTTTAGGGAAAAAAACTTCCCAACCTGAACTGCTATTTAATGAACATAAAATTCGGCGCCAACGTCATCTAAACAGTACGAAGGGTCTTGTTGAAATCTTACGACATTCACAATTGTCCAACGTTGCAGGCTGATGCCATGTCAGCTGTGAAAAGTTAAACAGCCTACCTAACCTGGGTGTATTCCGCCAAAACAATCTCCCCTTCGCTTCCAGGTTCTATTTTCATCGTCAACAACTACTGTATTTTTTTTAAAGTTGATGTGAAATGGGATGTTCCTTTTCCAGGCCTTCAATTACCAACACAATAGTTTAGCCAGAAAGAAACGCTCGATCTTGATTGTTTTACATCCTAGCCTATGCTGCACCTGCATATTTGATCATCAAAACAGATGTTTGAAATAAAAAGAGGGTTTGATTACACTTACCTTCACATGTTTCCTCCAGTTTCCTCTGGCTACCCTAACTTCAGATAAACAAGGTAGTTAGATTGTGATTTTGTGCCTATTACAATCAATATTTGATTGTTTGTAAGATGTAAAGGAAATAATACCATTTATTTATTTTCCATAATTTTAAACAACGTAAAAATCTTACTTTAATGGAATGAATTGTGATCAATTAAATGTAAATTGTAGATTATGGCGATGTGACGGTAACAATATAAGAATCTCTGCTTAATTGTGTTGCAGTAATTCTGCATCTTAATTAATTTCGCTGCTTGTTTTTTTTGGAAGTAACTGAATCCTTATTTGTTTCTTCCTTTTGTAATTAACAAAATATAATTTAGGAGAGCGAATGCTTTATTCATTCAAGCAGAGATCTGCAACACCTCATTGCCTCGTCCAAATCGATAAGATATCATTAGCCAAAGCGCAGCCAAATGTGCTGGAGAGAACAAAACGTACAAAAATATTGGTCATTCCTCGATGTTACAGATATTCACCATCTTTAAAACAAGGCGCTGCCACGACAGCTAATCAGGTCCTATCATTAGTTATATGTTGGGATCACTGTGAAATGCAGCTCCACACTAGGCCGCCTCACACACTTCCAATCTGAACAGGAAAGTCAACGTCTCCCAGTTTTTAATTATGATAATTTTAATGGCATTAAACATGCCGTTGCACTTCCTAATCAAATCTTTATCACTGAACTTTGCGAAGGAAGATTAAAACCGTTGAACATGTTTTAGTCTCGAAACCGAATGTTTTCCAAAATTATTAGAGATTTGAAACAATGTTCAGCAATGTATTGGTATTAATGTTGGGTGTAAGGAGTGTAATTGCTGATGTGATTTCAGATTTGCATGTAGCAGATCTTGTTTCCCTGTAGAAGTGACCAGGGCCTGAGTAACAGTTTGTGCTGTTTATCCCCTAACCATCTGCCAGCTGCTAGCGCCCGGCTGGATATTGATCGTTTCTCTCTGCTTGTTCACTCTGCTCCGGTTAATCCTTATCCTCTCCTCGCCAAACCCAGCCATTCATCTCGGAATTATCTGTGGGGGAGAAAAAGATCTACTTCATTATTTCTTACAAAATGTACCAGAACTTTCCCCCCGGTAAGTAAACAGGTGTTTCCGCAGGAGGTGAGAGCAGCGCTCACCTTTCATTTACATTGTGGCTTTTGCTCATTGGGAACAAGGGCAAATTCCAGGCTAAAGCGGCATTTCGTTTTGGATTTAAATTAAGATAATATTAAGATTAGTCAAAGCAGTATAATAACCTCAACTAATTCAACCGTTTTCAGAAGCTAGCGCGGATGTGATCAGTGCAGCCAGTGTAGTGGATATTGGTTGTCGTCAGACTCTGCAAATGAAGATTGCATCCGGATCATTTTTCACTAGAATGCAAACCGTTTTGGGGAGGAAGTAAGAAAGCATCAACGTGCCAGTAAATATTCTGATTTCCCCGTATTTATATTAAAATCTCAGATAGCTCGTATTTCACGCAAGGTTTCAATTACAGAGATTAATAAGCCACCATTACATTCTCATTGGTATTTGCTGCATTTAATTGCCACATAGCTTGTGTCTAAATTTTGTTTCATGTTATTATGGCGCCTGAATTTCACGAAGCACTTGCTTGAGTCGCGACTCCTTTTTGCACTGTTGCTGTTTTTTATGCTAATAGCTGGTAAAGTGAGTAACTATCTGATGTCAAACACACACCGAGTGACATCGCCAAACGCTGATGTTTGAATGCAGTTACTTCAATAAGCGTCGAGAAAGAATGTTTGCAACTTAGGCTGATAGTAATTATACATTCACACTGTCTGTCGCCAATAAAAATATAAAAATATCCAATATAAATATAACAACCCGAAGTAGTATGTACACGATTTAATTGTATATTTTGGGGATATAATTAATAAATATATTTAGGAAGCACCACAATGTTGATGGCATCACCTTCAGATGATGAAAGTTGCAGATTGAGAGCTATTGACAGTGCGTCTGCAGCAGGAATGGGTTAGGCGGCAATTATTCACTTGCAGAATATGCGGTTCAGAATTGCCATCTGCCTTTGATAAATACTCGGAAACTCGGAAACATTTCAGAGGCCGGGCATTAACTGATGATGAAGTTCGGATGGACTTTTTTTTAAGCATATTTTGCCAAATTTAATGTTTGTAACTATGCATATTCTTTCTCTCAGTTTACTTAGTTTCTAGGATCGAAACGTGTAAAATTCAGTCTTGTGGAATTCAACTTTATTTTAACCCAATGTTCAAGTCAGTTTATCACTCAGTTAAATTAAATGAGAACAGTTTTGCAGAACCCAGCGCATGTATACATGTCAATGATCTGTAAGCAGTGCAAAATCTAAGCTATAAATGGACACAATTCTGAAAACAATTAATAAAACCATTGGAGAATATATTTTCGAGAGTTTTGAATTATAGTATGTAAGAGCAAAGAATGTAGGCTAATTTGTATTG